ACATTTTCATCGTACAAATACCAGGAATAGATTTTCATATTAAATAAATTACCAGCAACAAATTTTGAGAAAAAAAAAAGAAAAATATTTGTTTATTTATTTATTGTTAATTTACTCAAACACGGAAATGAGAAACAAATGCATGCAAGCAAAAGAGGAGTGACTCAATGAAAAGTGTGCAGAGACAGAACGATTGGACATCATGGATAAAGTAAGAATGCATTAAAGAATAAAGGAAGAACGAAAAAATAAGATGTGCTCATGAAGAGGTTACATAAAATGAAACGAGGGAGCATTAATAAAAAGAGAAAAATACTTCAAAGATGGAATAGATATTGTTGTAACCTTGGGAAGGTTACTGAATAGAATAACCAAATGAAAGTTGGTAATGAACGATAATACTTAGGACAAGAACAACACATATAAGATTCGCTAGCCACGCGTAGAAGTAGTAGTCAACTGCTAGAAATAGTCAAGTTAATTCTACAATAAAACTCCAACTGCAGGATATCTACCAACCGCCCCATGAGGTCAGATGTGGCACAAGGCTGAATTTAATGTGAGGTATCCGAGACCGTAGGATCGGCAAAAAATTCCCCGTACACCTCGTATAAAAAGGGGTCGGGTAGCTGTTTCCCGAGTCGTAATTGATCTAGCAAGACAAGCTTTCTAACCATTACACCATGTCGAGGGATCCTCTCTGCCCGGAAGCAGAGAGTTTAACAAGCACAAATGGAAACGAACCTCCAAATCTAAACTAACATACAGTATGTACGACTATATTTATGTGAATGGAGACATACCCATTATCGTATGCCGCAACCGATATGTTGGAGAATTCCTTCACGACGGGAAGGCAAAAGAATCAGATTAGATTATTGATCGTCCTGAAATTTAAAGATCAGTAATGCCCAAAATAAACAGGAACAAGGCAGAAGAATTAGATTAGATTAAAATAAAAACGTATGTGAGTAGAGTTGGTATCGAACGTTGGAATGACAGAATCAACAAGAGATGATTTCAGCAAAGTCAAGATTCTTCTTTCTTTTATGCGCTGTGTCCATTCAGGAGGTAAGCGATCATGGCTCTCCACTTCCTATTATACCTTGTAGCTCTTAACACTTTCACTGCTACTCATTTGCCCAGTGCTGCCCCCATCCGGTCAGCCATTTTTAAAGAAAATGCCAAATTTCAACCTACATATTTTATTACACGGAAAACTGGCACCAGTGTGTTTTACAGCCTTCCATTTTCATGGATATACCTGGGAATGACTTACCAGATCAGTAATGGGTATACACATGATATGCTTACGGTCAAATCACGCTGAAACACCGGTTCTCGTACGATCACCGAAGTTAAGCATCGTAGAGCCAGGTCAGTACTTAGATGGGGACCGCTTGGGAACATCTGGTACTGTAAGCCCCCAAAGTCCAACCCTTACCTCACAGTCGGTGGGGGGTGTAAACGGTAGTGTCAGAGCTATGCCGCCCGGAACTTCGTTCCTGGTAGGGCCACCCAAGGCGGACAGGTCTGACACACACGCCGGCTAACAAGGGCTCTGGTGAAAATCCAAGGAGCGTCTGCATCGGTAACCGGCGGCTTCTGGTCGTTCCTGTCTCTGCGTCTGTGGGAACCCCGCGGCAAGCAAGAACGTTATCCGAGTAGGCCTGGGTACCCTACTTCTGTAATTTATCCCAAGAATCTTCTTCTCATAACAGGAAGAAGCCGGCTCAATCCGCCCAGGGTGAATGCCGCATCAGTACAGTACAGTAGTATACACATGATATCTTTTGAAGCATTGTCCTTTGTGATTTTACGATAGATGGCGCAACGGGACACTCATAACAGCGGTAGGCAAAAAAACGTAGGTTTCCGTACTTAGCCAGCTGGAGCAAGATATGATAAACGAAGATCTCCATAGTTAGCAGCGGAAGTTTTAATAAGTTTTGTCTTTTTGCTACTTCTTCCAGACCCTGTTCTGTCATCCACTTGCTTAATCCCGTTAAGTATGTCACGCGTTCCTTTCCCTTGTCTCTCTTTCCCTCTATCCGCCCTGTAAGTATCAGATTTTCCAAGCCCTCCTTTTTCATCACGTCTCCCAGAAATTTCAGCTGTTTCTTCCTGATGTTAAGTGTAAGTTTCCTCTTCGTTTGCCTTCTCGCTAAAACCTCATCGTTGCTCACATGTTCGGTCCATGGTATACTTAGCATTCTTCTTTAGAACTATACCTTCGTTGCCTCGAGTCTCTTCTTCATCTTTAAGGAGACCGTCCAACATTCGCTGCCGTAAAGGAGGACAGATATCACGTAGCAGTTCAGTACACTTTTTTTGCTACCAACGAAATCCTCCTGTCTCTTAATATTCTGCCTTGCTTCTTTGAAGGTGATAATACATAAAGTATACAACAGTGGCGAAATACCAGAAGATCATAGCAGAACCATCTTCGTAATGCTGCCCAAGAAGATAAATACCAAAGAACATGAATTGTATCAGACGATCATGATAGCGTATCAATTGTGAAGTAGTACACTGTGATATTGACCATTTCTTTGCATTGAGGACGACAGTGGTTAGCATCCACCGAAAAAAGAAGACTATCTCTGGTTATACAGGAATAAAGTGTCGCTGTCGACACTTGAATTTGAACATAGATCGCCAGTGAACAAAAGCGATCTCATTATTGAACTGCGTAGACCAGGTGACTATAGAGGAAACGCATATATAAAAGGAAGTCGAGTGACGTCTTATATATGTTCGCTTTTTCTATTCTATCCTCCATTATTATACGGACCGCTTTTTCTACTCTATCCTCCATTACTATACGGACCGCTTTTTCTATTCTATCCTCCATTACTATACGTACCGCTTTTTCTATTCTATCCTCCATTACTATACGGACCGCTTTTTTCTATTCTATCCTCCATTACTATACGGACCGCTTTTTCTATTCTATCCTCCATTACTATACGGACCGCTTTTTCTATTCTATCCTCCATTAATATACGGACCGCTTTTTTCTATTTTATCCTCCATTACTATACGGACCGCTTTTTCTATTCTATCCTCCATTACTATACGGACCGCTTTTTCTATTCTATCCTCCATTACTATACGGACCGCTTTTTTCTATTCTATCCTCCATTACTATACGGATCGCTTTTTCTACTCTATCCTCCATTACTATACGGACCGCTTTTTCTATTCTATCCTCCATTACTATACGGACCGCTTTTTTCTATTCTATCCTCTATTACTATACGTACCGCTTTTTTCTACTCTATCCTCCATTACTATACGGACCGCTTTTTTCTATTCTATCCTCCATTACTATACGGACCTTTTTTTTTCTATTCTATCCTCCATTACTATACGGATCGCTTTTTCTACTCTATCCTCCATTACTATACGGAACGCTTTTTCTACTCTATCCTCCATTACTATACGGACCGCTTTTTCTATTCTATCCTCCATTACTATACGGACCGCTTTTTCTACTCTATCCTCCATTACTATACGGACCGCTTTTTCTACTCTATCCTCCATTACTATACGGACCGCTTTTTCTATTCTATCCTCCATTACTATACGGATCGCTTTTTCTACTCTATCCTCCATTACTATACGGACCGCTTTTTTTCTATTCTATCCTCCATTACTATACGGACCGCTTTTTTCTACTCTATCCTCCATTACTATACGGACCGTTTTTTTCTACTCTATCCTCCATTACTATACGGACCGCTTTTTCTATTCTATCCTCCATTACTATACGGACCGCTTTTTCTACTCTATCCTCCATTACTATACCAACCGTTTTTTCTATTTTATCCTCCATTACTATACGGACCGCTTTTTCTATTCTATCCTCCATTACTATACGTACCGATTTTTCTATTCTATCCTCCATTACTATACGGACCGCTTTTTCTACTCTATCCTCCATTACTATACGGACCGGTTTTTCTATTCTATCCTCCATTACTATACGGACCACTTTTTCTCTTCTATCCTCCATCACTATACGGACCGCTTTTTCTATTATATCCTCCATTACTATGCGAACCGCTTTTTCTATTCTATCCTCCATTACTATACGAACCGCTTTTTCTACTCTATCCTCCATAACTATACGAACCGTTTTTTTCTATTTTATCGTCCATTACTATACGGACCGCTTTTTCTATTCTATCCTCCATTACTATACGGACCGCTATTCTCTATACTATTTCACTATACACAGTACTATTCGTACGAGTACTATTCGAAGGCGTCTGGCACCAGTATTATTCAACGGCATATTATAGTTGTAGGTCTCTACTACAACGAACAAAGTGACAACGAGTATTCATTAGCATCACAGAAGTGGCAGCAAAAGGGTTCGTTTGACGTTACAAAATCCCTAAAGCAGGAATACACCCGAAAAAAAAGTATGCCCTATTTTTGGTGAGATATGAAGTGTTTCCTTTATCATGAAAAGTTAAGACAAAGGGAAAGAGTTAAAATGAAGAATTATTGCAGCCAGTCGGAAGCATTCCACCAAAAGTGTTAATTCGTTAAACATGTTTATCTGACACTATAAAACGAGAGCACCTATTGCCCAAGTTACCCAGAAAATGATTTCCGCACTAAATATAAACGTTTCTTCTCGTCGCCTTTGCTCTCCTCACAAGGATCTTTATAATTATCCCTTTTTTTTTCATGGCTTTGCAACATTTATAGACGGAAAACAGCGTATCCATTGTGAAGTGGCTCAAAGTGATATTCGGCGTTTCTTTGTATTAAAACTGGAAGAATTTTACGCACGATGGATCAGCATTTTCACAAATAGATGGGATTGAGTCAGCAGTAATGAAAAATACTATTACTGGTGACTTAATAGATATCAGTTAAGACCAAAGAAGCACTTTATTTATTTTTTATTTTTTTTTTTTACACTCTGACGCAAGTAAACCGTACATAACCTACCTAACGTGCTTTTCCAAAATGGATGGCAGAACAGGGACGGAGAGAGAGAGAGAGAGAGAGAGAGAGAGAGAGAGAGAGAGAGAGAGAGAGAGAGAGGGGTAGCAAAAAGGTAAATATTAGCCTTCAAAGAATAGGAAGATGTGAAGAGTCATGATCGTCCAGGAACACAGCACATCGTGAGATAATTGTTATACTTGCAAATATAGTGATTTTCTAAGCCCGGCTTAGACGTGGCACAAGGCCGAAAGTATGGGGCACCCAGTGAAGATCGAACTCACTACTCTGTCGTACTTGATCTAGAAAGACAAGCTTTCTAACCACTACACCACGTCGAAAATATAAGTAAATTGTAAATATAAGTTTTAGCAAAATATCTTTATTATATAGTTCTTCGTTTTTTTTTTTGTTTTTTTTTTGTTTTTTTTAATGGCGGAATTTTAATAAAATGAAACAATTTTATAATTTTGCTCATCATCTGAATGGTATGTAAAACGGTTTGTTACTTATGTGGGTGTTCTTATTTTAAATTGAAATGAATTTGTGCAATATGTTTCTCACTAGACTAAGCGTCAAGTGTTAATGACAAACAAAAGTCGACAACAACAGTGGCAAGAAGAAAGGCGATAAAAAAAAAGCCTAATAGATACATTACACCTTCCATATCGGGAGACAGAATCGGTAGGTCAGCCTTTCTTATTATACTGGTCCTCACATTGCACAAAGACCGCCCAGTTGCCTGTCTACGAATAGTGACAGAGAAGGTCTTCAATCGATTATCGTCGAACTAATTTGGTTTTCCTCTGATTTAAATCAAATTACGAAAGTTCCTGTAGAAGAATATCTTTGTTCATAATTTCTACCTTTGAATTCAGCTTCCTGACTTCACTGGCAAATTCATTTCATTATTGAATGAACAAGAAATCATAATGTTTGTGATTAAATAAAATAGGTATAATCGAATTCTACTTGAATTGTATTTTCAAATGAAATTTGCTAGCGTGCATATGTGCGTGTGTCTACAAGTGTCATTATCAAATCCCCTCTAGACTAATAGCAGTTAACCCTTCCTCGTCTTACGCCCTTTTCAATTTGTCTTTACTCATTTTGTTTTCTATCCGGATACAGGCTGTTTATTCACAGTAAATCTTCTGAATTCTTCTAATATTAGGTTGGTGCAAAAATAATGACGTAATGATGTCTTTTTTTGACGTTAAAAAATACGTCCAAAAACGACATTATTACGTCATTATTTTTGCACCAACCTAATATATTCCAATATTCATCATATTACAATTTCGCTTGTTCATCCTTTGGTCAGTAAGTTAGGACGTGCGTTAGATTTGCCATTGCCTCAGATAAATAATGAACCATTCTGCTTTGATTGCGAGGAAATACGGAAGAATTTGATACATCAGAGACAGTGTTTGGCACTAAATCAGTTACGTGAGTTCAAAGTCACGCGTAGAAAAGCATGTTTAGTTAGATCAATTATGACTGAGTAGTGAGTTCGATCCTCAGTGGGTGCCTCATATTTTCGGCCTTGTGTCACATCTAAGCTGCGCGTAGGAAATTATTGTGGGTACTATGATATGGTGTAATAGTTAGCAAGATCCTCTCGCTGGATCAATTGCGACTGAGTTCGATCCTCACCTGTTGCTTCACACTTTCGGCCTTGTACAGCATCTAAGCTACACGTAGGAAATCTTTCTAGGCACTTCGACATTGTGTAATGGTCAGCAAGATTCTCTCGCTAGATCAATTACGACTGAGTTGTGAGTTCGATACTCACTGGTTGCTCCACACTGTCGACCTTGTTCCATTTGTAAGCTGTGCATAGAAAATCATTTTGGGCACTTCGACGTGACGTAATGGTTAGCAAAGCTTGTCTCGCTAGTGAGTTCGATTCTTACTGGGTAACCTATACTTTCGGTCTTAGCCCACATCTAAGCTACGCTTAGACAACTGCAGTCAGAGATGGTGTTTGATTTTAGTGAGTAAAAGAAAATATACACAAGAAGAAAAATGAAAGAAAGCAAAATGGAGGAGATGATAATGTCCGATTCATTGAAATGAACAAAGCTTGTCAGGTTTTAATCTTTTCATTTGTACCCACTTACTCTTTTAAATATTAACCTGCAATTGACTTCAGATTGTTACTGCAATAATTTGTTAAAGTTTTTAAACTCAAACTATTCAAAACACAATAGCGGAATTTTCACGGATATTTTAAAAACGTGTAACTCACAAGAAATTATAATTCTAACCAGAAAAGGTTAAGCTTACTATCACCAAAATTAAGCAACGTCAAGCCTGGTCAGTACCTAGTTGGGTGACCGTGCATGTGGTGTAATGGATAATTGGAGAGTCGAGTTCCAGTTGGGTTTGTTATATTCATTTACTCGAAAATACTTTTTTTTTCGAAAAGCTGTGATTCAATCTCTTCTCCATACCATCCAGTTAAGGGTTAATTAGAACATTTATCAGTAAAATCATTACTATCTTCAAAAGATTTCTTAGCATCTAAAAATATATTCTGACTTTAAATAACCTACAAAAGGCTGATAAGCTGTAAAAAATCAATCACTCGATCAGAAACGGCTCGACATACGAGTCTACACTTCAGTGACGATCACTGGGCATGTCTTTGTCTCAGCTGAAAAGCAGTCAAACGATGAGGAAGACATTGACCAATACACCTTTTCATATAGAAGTGTTTTATGATCAAGACTTGATATATCTTGAACTGTTGTGTAAATCCTCTTGCTGTTTGCTTAGGGCTTTCCAAAACTCAATATCGTCATGCCTCGACTCAAAGAATTTAAATGTACTATTAAATGGACAAATATGTTTTACCGTTTTACTATTGAACTAAGAGATGTAACCGTAGAGTTCTAGCTTAACAGTTCCTTTTTTTCTCAACTCTCGCCTGTGGAATTCCCTTCCAGTTGTTACCCCCTTGTTTTGGGAATTTTGGGGTACCCTGCAGTACTAGTGAGCCAACCAAAATGAGCTGACTCATTTTATAGTTCACCAATAGAAGGGTTAACCAATCAGAAGGCTCAGAATATTCAATGCGACGTGTATAAATGCGGCCATGTTTTTTTTATTCCGAATATTCACTGCCAACCTTTGATATCGAAGACTGAAGAATTACGGAACAGCTGCTGGTGGTATTGGCGATATAGTCAGATTCAGTAGAGTGTCTGAATCGTGAGTGTTAATCTTTAACGTTGTTTCATTGAACAGATTACGTACTGTGCTGTATTCTATATTCATAGACTTGGCGAATATGGTCAACGTCTGTTACCTACAGTCTTGACAAATGTAAATGCAGCACCATTCTCCATCTTCTGTTTTCCTAAGAACATTATTTTTTTCTCTTCCTGAATCTTGTTCTTTTTATTGTTCTTCCTCCTCAATAAAGTCTTCTCCTTCCATATGACTCTCAATAAGCCCAGGAATTCCAGAATACCCAAAGATGTATTTCTTCCGATGACCTCGGAAGATGGAAAGGTCAAGTACCATATCTTCAAAGAAAACTAAAAGATTAACCTTGGACTGAAGAGTCATACACGTGCACATTGTCCGATGATGATCAATGAAGAGATGATGTTCTTATGACAAGCGAAAGCAAACCATCAATAGACATATATATATATATATATATATATATATATATATATATATATATAATTATTTATTTAAAAATATGATTTCAACACGCTACATAAGAGTTCTCATGTTTCAAAACAAGAGCCGAAAACTTCAATATAATTATTTGAATTAAATTGAATTAAAGTAAGCTCTGTTCCATCTTCAAGCGATTTTTTTTTTTTTTTGGAATAACTTATTTCTGAAATTTACGTGTTTTAATAGCATATTCAGTATTGAAATCAAAATTTCCATGGTAACGGCTAGAGCGATTGTTTAAATAAAAAGGAGTGTAGGGTGTTAATAATTTGTATCAGTATAGAGTTACATTCACAGATGTCAAGTCAGGGTAAGGTTTGGGGTGTTTAAATTTAAAACGGAAGATGATTTCGCCTAGTCTGGTTTACGTGTCTATGGAGATTTATTTATTTTTTTATCTTATTTTTTTCTCATTTATGCTCTACGTTTGTATCGAGCACTATATTTAAAAAATAATAACTAAAATACTAAAGAACTTTGGATTATTTACCTAACGAGTTCTTTCCTATTTTCTACATATTTTCACACACACACACACACACATATATATATATATATATATATATATATATATATATATATATATATGAAATGCGTATATTTCGACAGCATATTTTCATTAAATCAGATTTTGTTAAATAATTTGAACATGTTCTGTCTACTTATTTTCGAATTCTTTGAAGTTCCGTGTGCTTGGTTCGAGGCAGATAATATAATTAACTAGTAATTTTACACTAGCGAGAAATTCAACGCTATTCGCGAAAAACTGAAACGAAACCTTTCACATGACTTCATACAGTATTCACTGATTAATTTAATTTTCTCCTCATTTTATATCAAAGCGAATTTCACGTAGATTCGCGAATTTATTTGCATCTTCTTCTTAGACCACTGATCAATTTCTGTGAAGGCAAAGTTTCCATTGGTTCAAATTAAATTTCACATATGATTATAAATTCCTTTCCGTCATCTTCCTCAGTACTCCGAATTTGAAGTGAGTAGATGAAGAGAGTTATTGTTATTTCGCAGTCATTGCAATGTAATGGTTAACAAGCTTGTCACGCTAAATCAGTTACGATTGAATAATGAGTTCGATCTTTACTGAGTGCTCTGTACTTTTGGCCTTGTGCTGCATAAAAGCTATGCTAAGTAAATCCTTAGATATATTTTTAAAATTTTCATGTCTTCTCTCTCACCAATAAAACCTTTTTTTATTTGCCTCGCGCAAAGGAAAACGGAAACAAAAAGGACATTTATATTTAGAGTCAGAAAGAGACTGAAATTTCTAAGACAAATAATGAGAAAGCAGGACTTGGAGAATTCGACACTCACGAGGTCAAAGGGACACGGTGATAAAGTGGGCCACCTTACTTGAATGGATAGCAGAAACGGAATTAGGTGCGATGGCAAACGGGCAAATATTTACTAAGAGCTATAACGAATAGGAAGTTGTGGAGATCCGTAATCGCACGCTTCCTGAAGGGACACAGCTACTATATGAAGACGGATTTCATTCCATTGGGAGTTATGAATGGAGGACATATTAATGGCGTCCATGCCACTGAACACAATTTCTTCACTCTTCGCTCTCCCATCCTGCGACTATCATTTACACACCCTCGCTCTTGCTTTCATCTCTCTCGCAACATTCCTAAAAATATTTTTTCCCTTAGCCACCAACACGTCATCACCTATGCCAGTGAAGCAAACAAAGGAAAACCTATTTATTCATGCAAACTTCCTTTTTCAATGATCGCTAACTATAAGAACCTAATGTCCTACACACCAAGGTAGCTTTTGTTTGGTGGGCAGCCGACGGCATTGTTAGGTCGACTCTCAAAATCGTTAAAATAATCTAAGAAACGAAAATAAAAAAATAAATAAAAATGGGGTATTAAAGTACATTTTTCGTTCGATGACTAATTGCCACCCTTTCATTCCTTTGAAAGCAAAACATGCTTCTGCAGTTTTAAATGCCTTCATTTTCCATTCCTTCAGTTGTCGTCGTCTTTCTAATTAGAAATGTAAAGAGTAAAAGAGATTCAATAGAAAATTTACATCGATAAGAAAAATACATCTTTCTTAAAAATGAATGTTTGTCAGAACCATGCCATGAACTTGTTTACAATAATAAAGTAATTGTTATTCCACTATTTATATGATTAACAAAACATGCATGAAAGGCTTTTCTAATAGATAGATAGATAGATAGATAGATAGATAGATAGATAATGTTCACTCCGAGGTGATAAATATGGATGACGTTAGATATATACAAACACATATACAAACTTATAAAGTGTAAAAAATATTTAGAGCATCAAATGTCAGGACGTTGAGGAAAGTCATAATTTCTATAGATATGAACAGAATGAGATAGATAGATAGATAGATAGATAGATAGATAGATAGATAGATATGAACAGGCTGATAGATAGATAGATAGATAGATAGATAATGTTCGCTTCGAGATGATAAATATGGATAACCTTACATATATACAAACACATATACAAACGTGTAAAGGGTAAAAATTATTTAGAGCATCAAATATCAGGACGTTGAGGAAAGCCATAATTGCTATAGATATGAACAGAATAGATAGATAGATAGATAGATAGATAGATAGATAGATAGATAGATAGATAGATAGATAATGTGCACTCCGAGGGGATAAATATGGATAACCTTAGATATATACAAACATATATACAAACTTGTAAAGTGTAAAAAAAAATATTTACAGCATCAAATGTCAAGACGTTGAGGAAAACCATAATTTCTATAGATATGAACAGAATGAGATAGATAGATAGATAGATAGATAGATAGATAGATAGATAGATATGAACAGGCTGATAGATAGATAGATAGATAGATAGATAGATAGATAGATAGATACGAACAAAGGAAATAAATATGCTACTGTTATCATGTAACCCAATATTACCTGCCCTTTAGTCGTGTCATCCAGTTTTTTACCAGGTTTTTTCTGGTGAGGAGTGTGGCTAAACTCCCAGAAAGATTAAAAACAAGATCTGTCAAAGGGTGAATGAACATTCTTGTTGACACAATGCCCATCTACCACAATGGGGTCGACTGGACTCAATCGCTATGGAGCCAGACATTGTGGTGATGACACGACATCACTGAGATGAAGCCAATGGTTAGGGCAACGGTTAGGTAAATTGAAGTCAATAGTTAGATAACTGGAACACGAACACGTGGACGTCGATTCATAAGGAATCAACGACCACGCCTCCATGATCAAGGCGAGCCCTCATGTTGGATGACACCGGGGTGTCGTTTGACTCCGCCTGGTAAACTTGTCTAAGGTAGGCAACGTATGGATGAATACCTCTCCGGCTTTCAAACACGGCTGCCTGGAGGGACCTGATTAGTTACTACGCAACGCAGCGACTCTACGAAGAGACTGGATCAGATGACGATAATGTGGAGGATAATGAAAAATATTTGGTACGTGGAAAGTAACTCGTATCAATTTGTATTGCGTCTCTGCACTTGAGATAAAAAAAAAGAAAATTAAGAATTGATTGAACTGCTTGTTTAACGGCATATCAACTCCTTATGGCTAATTTAATGACGAAAATTTATTTTTTGTGTGCTTAGAAGTAATTTAGTAACGTCTTAATATATATATATATATATATATATATATATATATATATATATATTAAGACATTTTATGTTATACATTCTTTTTATAGATACAAATATTTAAGTAAATGCTCTGTTTATAATAAACAGTATTAAACAACAGAATGTATAACATAAAAATGTCTTAAAATAATTATCGGACTTCGTCCATTTCATAATATATATATATATATGTGTGTGTGTTTGTGTGTGTGTGTGTGTGTGTGTGTGTATGTATGCATGTATGTATGTATGTATGTGTGTGTGCGTATTGTTGGACATTTCAATATAAGTATGAATTGTTGGTATTTTTACTATAAAAATCGATTTTTATACTATATTTATACTATTTTTATAGTATATTGTATTTGTTGGGGGTTCACTGCCTGGAACCCTAACTGGTGCTACCACACCGGGCTAGGTAGGACCTGGGAACAATTAAGAGGTGTTTTCAAGGTCCTCAAACCCTCCAATATCTCGATCAGAATTCTGGCTGCCAGATGTACTTTAGCGTCATACCCAGGAGCAGAAAATTAAGTAACTGTTAATCCTTCACTTAAGCGGCGTAAAATAAACTGCTATTCCCTGAACAGCCAAAAATCAAGACCGAGGTATATAGGTTTATTACAATTAAACATTATTACAACGGGTAATGGTGGACTACACAGCAAATAAATGCTGAAAAACACGGAACTGCTCATGAATAACTACATCGTGACAGTATAACCCGAGGGTGATTTCCTTGGGTCTAGTAAAAGCAAGCACAGCCATCTTAATCAATATGGCTTCCAGGCTGAATATACAACACACTCGCCTCTTTCAGTGTCTACGCTCGTCGTTCCGGTATGTTAACTAAGGCACCCTTTCCCGAGCCCCACTCGAAACCATGTGCAGGGCGCCATTTGGCCAAGTCATTGGCCACGGTTTTATTTACGATGAAAAAGACATTTAAAGACATAAATTTTCATTTTACGCTGTCTAAGTAAAGCAGAACTTCAAGAGATTATTTTACTCTGTTTATGTGAAGGATTACCATGAAACTACCCTAATGCTATTTTTACTTTTTGTCATAAACGGAAATGCTTAAATATTCGTTGAGGAAATGAAATTCATTCAACAATTTCGATAATGCTGGTAAATAACGGCTTCTCGTTTAAGAATGGTTTTTGCGATAGACGGGAGAAATATTTTCAAAAAGTGGCTTCTCCGTTTACAACATATGTACTGAGGAGAAAACGATTCCAGAGAATGGTTTATCGATTATGATTTTGTGAATAAGTTCTCATTAGATTTCTTCGCCTCTAAGCTGATGTACGTTATAGTGTAATGTATATCGGTATAGAGCCGAGTTCGAATTCCAGTCGGGTTCATTACATTCATTTACGCGCAAATACCTTTGGAAAAGGTATGATTCCATCTCTTCTACTCCCAGCTATGTATTAAACAGCAAGGCAAACTAGGTCTAAACTGCAGAAAAAAAAAACGGCAACCTTCTCCGGGAAAATTTTCCGCCTAGTCAGTCATGAACCAAAAGAGACATAGTTGCACAAGTGTGTATCGCGTCTGGCAATGAACTGACTGTTCTGGATAAAAAGATTGAATATCAGGACAAACTGAGTCATATAGCCTTGTTTGGCAACCGGTCTAATGCAGAAACAAACGGCAACTTTCTGCGGGAAAATCTTCTGACTTGTCAGTCATGAATTGAAAGAGACATCCCGTATGGCAATTAACTGACTGATCTGTTAAAAGGATTAAATTTCAGGACAGACTGAATCCTATAGCCTTGGTTGGCAACCAGTCTACCACAGAAAGAAACGGGAAAATCTTCTCCCTAGTCATTCTTGAATCGAAAGAGACATAATCGCCCAAGCGTGTATCCCGTATGGTAATTAACTGTCTGACTGAATCTGAGGACATGTGTAATATTTGCTGAATTTGATGCACTTAAATTAATCGGTGTGAATTTATGGTTATGGCTAAAGTGCTTAATATGTTTGACCATTAAAACTGAGTACTGAGTTAATCATCAAAAATAGACTTTAAAAAACCCAATACGTATTTATATGTGATAAAATCAACGAACTAACGAAAATTAAGAACACCATAGAGACGCAGGCTTGGTTAACAATTAATACGGAGAGGAGAGTCTAAGGTTTTACTTTATCACAAAGATTTTACTTTATCACAAAGTCGATATCCTGCAAAATGGCTGCAGATGGCCTCGCTATCACTGCAGCCACCATTACCAATGCCACCGTTCTTCTAAATCATCTAAAAAATTCTGCAACTATGTCTGGCCAATTTCTGTCGACCATGCCAATGCCTCTAAAACCGAATTCCTAAGCTTCAACCAGACTCAATACAAAGTGTCTCAGACGAAGCAATAAAATCTGTGGAATCTTTTACATACCTAGGAAGTGACAGAAATTTTACTGAAAAACGTGTGAAAATTCACATGGCTAAAGTCTGGGTCATCTTGAATAAAAAGAATGTGATCTGAAAATCTGATTTGCCAGACAACCTCAAGTGGAGATTCTTCTATGCCACGGTAAAGTCGGTTCGAATGTATTGTTTCCACTGCGTGGACATTAAGAAAACCATAAAGTCTAAACTCGATTGAACCTACACTCGAATGCCGAGAGATATACTTAACATCTCTTCGAGACAAAATATCGACAAAATAACAGAACTATGGGCGCATCACTGATATTTTTACAATCTTACGTGAACGCAGAATGCGCTTTCCATGACACTGGTTGAGAGCAAATCAAGAACTTACGAGTGATCTACGGTTCTGGACACCTGGCCATTGACCAAAACGGGTTGGTCGTTCAATAACCATCTATATTGATCCTCGATATAATGATCCAGGATGTCACCCTTATGACTTTCCGGTCTTGATGCAGGACCGTGATGCTTAGCATGGTAGACTCATGATCGTCTGAGTTAGGTTGTTATGATGTTGATTTGGGGTTAGTAGAGACAAACGCCAAATAACACGTAACAATAAAAAGGGTTTTAATAGGTTGGTAAAAAGGTACAGAAATCGCCTGAGTAGTCAATAACTAACTCAGCTAAGAACTTCTCGGTCTATCTATCTTCCCCATGTCAACTGACATGCCACTATTTAAAGTCTTTGTTCACAGACGCAGACAAGTTCATCTTCAAGAGGGGTGGTAGGTTTCCGACCAAATAGAAATAATAAGGGAGTCTGATTTATTCATTAATCCATCCTCGAGCATTTGTCAGAACTGAAAAATATTGGGTTTTTTTTTATATATATATTTTAGCGAGTGGTGTCCTGTTCGTAATATAAATAAAGTGCCAACTCTATCCTTGACTTTTTATGAAGTTTATGTTAATAGCCCTTCTATATAAATAAATGCGAATGTCAGCGTGTCACACTTTTTTCAACTTTACTCAGAGAGGCCGTAGCCCAATTGATTGTCATTTTGCTATAAAAACATATTGTTGGTTATTTTATTATGAAAATGTACTGCTGATCTTTGTTTGGGGTTCACCATTTTCTCATAGCTGGGATCCTAACAGGTGCTACCACGCCGGGTGAAAGTGGACCTGGGAACAGCAGCAATTAAGAGATTGTTCCACGTTCCTCAAAACCTGCAATCTTCCGATCAGATGCCTTGCTACAGGATGTAGTTTATAGTCATACCCAGAAAGAACTCTTTAAGAAGTCGGGGATTGATTTAACACTGTATTTATATTATGAACTGGACCCCGACTTCTAAAAGAATTTTTTTTTAAAAATCACTATTTTTCAGTTCTGGCAAATATCGGGGCTTGAGGAACAATAGTCTCCAGAAAGCATAACCTTCTACAAAAAATGATACCCCTCCCCAAAAATGATTCTTGTTCCAAATATTATACACCCCTCCAAAAATATACCTCCTCCAAAAAATTATACCGCCTCCAAACAGTATACCCCTCCAAATATTATACCCACTCCAAAAAGTAAACCTAATCCCAAAACTACACCCCCTCTAAAAATTATACCGCTATCCAAAAATTATATCCCCTCTAAAAATTATACCCCCTCCTAAATTTACATTCCCTTCTAAATAAAAAATACACCCGATATGAAATGAATGAGATGTAAAACGACCAAACAACCAAAATAAAGATTTTATCGTTTGTTTATATCAGCGATTTCTTTAGCTGAGAGCATAGGAGATTTTTTTTTTAATTTGAATTTGTTTTCTTCTCATTTTTAAATTAGTAAGAAAAAAATTAATGTGTCGATTCTGATGATTTAATCAACGATTCTGCCTGATTTTGTGATATTCATCTAAGTTATAATCACCTGCCACAAAGATAGGGTCCTCTCAGTGAGTACTGAATTCGCCGCATTAATAACAGTCTTATGTTACTCGACAAAGAGATATCATATCGGCTAGAGGTAACAGACAGCGAACCTATAAGAAGTGCGTTCGATCCTTTCTGGATGCCCTGATCAAAATCGATATTAAATAACCCAAAAAGTGTTGAAATGTCGTAAAAACAACAAACTGACCAACCAACCTAAATTTCATGGCGCCTCGGTGTGGAGGAATATATAACGATAATTACTACCGAATATAGAGCAAAATCATGCCTGCATATCCCATACCAGACTCGAAATTAAACACAAAAAGCGTTAGTATCTATCAACCAATCAAACCCAACTGTTTATTTGTCTACTCGGAAGGAGATAGTTGGGATTTCTAGGACACATAATGAGGTAAGTGGGTTTGGAAACTTTGACACTCACAGGACATATTGAAAGACGTATTGGCGGAGGCAAACAGCACATAAGCCACCTAAAAGGCTATTGTAAATAGTTGGCAGAACAAGGTTTAGGAGAGATAGCAATTAGACAAAATTTCTAAGAGCTACAAAGGATTGGAAATCATATCGAGACATGATTGGAAACTGTTATGGGGTCCACACCTTTTTCATACAAGTGGACTCGACCAGTATGTACTTGAACTGCTGCCGTTAAATACCCAGAGTCAGTCAGAGTGAGAGCAGTGATTGTGATTGAGTTGGAGGTAGAGTAATAGTATGAGGTAATCGCTTGTAGAAGTCACAGTTACAAGCACGTAGACTCTAAGGAAGTCCTACTTAGAGACTGGATTTACCAGACTGTATTTATATATTATTATCGCTACTAACCGCGTTTCTGGATCTACTAACCGTATTACCAATTGTATTATTGTGTAAATACATTCATTTGTTATATTTCATTCTTGTGTTTGTCATTCATTTCAGACCGGATTTTATCTCGGAATCCACAACAGGAAACGTTTACTGAAAATGAACGTCGGGTAAGTCTGATCCCTGCTTTCCAAAAGAAACGTTAGCATAAAAGTAATATATGCGACCTTAAATGAAATTCGAACTTTCTTTGACTATTCCGTTCTCCGAGTTGAACAATCATACGCCACAATTAAAGACTGACGTTGAATTTATATTTTTTTGTTGATTGACGGGGAAACAAAATGCCGGAAGAGAGTTTCATCAATGCCGGAAGAGAGTTTCATCAATACCGGAAGTTCGAGAGAAGAAACTATTGGAAGTGAACTTCCGGTTAAACATAGCAATTTAAATCCTAAAATGATGAGTTATAGCTGCCAATTGAGTACAATCGCTCCCCTCCCCTCTTCCGACAGGGATGCGTACGGTACTAATAATATTAGACCAAGCTACAGGGAGCCTCCCCACCCACCATGATTCGTTTCGGGAAGGAGAAGGCCGCCTGAAGCGTCCCCAAAAGAAGTGCTGATGGAACGTGGGCATTTTTTTCTGAGGTGTTACCCTTAAACCTACTTTAAACATACATCGACCTTGTGTCACTTCCGGTAGCAAATGGTAAATACAATCTCTGGTAAATAGAATCTGGTACTACCTTTAAATTCATGAAGAATCGGCAATATTATCGATCTCGATCTGGCATCT